GAAGGAAGCCATAAGAGCTGGAGAGAGAGCTTTCCAGGTAGCGGGTACAGTGAAGACAAAGCTTTCAAGGTGGAAGACCTTTTTGGCATGTTCAGGGAAAAGGTAGAGGCCAGTGTGGCCGGTGTGCTTTGAGCACGGAATAGATAGGGATGAGATGAAGTTGGGAGGTGTGCATGGGCCGGGTCACTCCGGGGCCTGTGAGGAGTACAGGAGCGTAAAGATGGTGAATAGTTTTAAACAGGGAAGCTCTTTTCACGGTAGCTACTTACTGATGTTGCATATTGTTGTGTAGTGTCTCTTACTGTAAGCCAGCCTTGAGACTGAATTTAGCTTCTGGAGATTTCCCCGAACCCTTTTCTGGCTTGTTTTGTAGTCTGATTATAAGAACACTTACTGTACTCTTGAGTCAGCATGGATCAGAACCTCAGAATGAAGGGAGTCCTAGGCCAGTTCCACAGGTTTTCAGACTGATTTTTTAAATTCCTTTTTCAGCTGTGGCGCTGTAAAACACTTCAGCACCTGACTTGAAAAAGTTTTGTTTTTTTTTTCCCACTTAAATCCCATGTAAATTAGGGGTTAAATTTCCATAATATCAAACTATCTCTTGTTTTAAGACGTGGGATTCTTTTTCCTAGGTACAAGTCATTGTTTAAGAAAATCACTAGCTGTTACAAAGAAAGGAAGAGAACTTAAGACAAATACGACGTATGACTGCCAGTTGTTGATGAATCAGAAACGATAGCAGATGACATGCCATTTGAAAAATAAGATTTACCCAGACCTTCAAATTTACCCAAACTACAGGTTACATATGAAAGGGGTGACCAAGCCTGTGCCTGTATTTTTACATTAAATACAGTTTTATAACTACTTAATTCAGCTTATAAATTTAAATTAAAATACATTTTAAAAAGGTCCTTTCCCACTGGAGGAATTTTTCTGTGAAATATTACATTGAAAATTATTTTTAACTAAAACATTTTATAACTTAATAGACCAGGTGGTTACAACTATTCAGTTTGGTGGAAAAACAATGCCAAGAGCAAATAGCCGCTCAGCAGGAGCAGTTCCACAACCAAATTCAAGTAAGTTGTTATTTGTATTGATTCTTTTTTATACTGTAAGATTTGCAAGAAGAACCCGTTAATACTTTATATCAGTTTTGTTGATGAACTAGAAACATATCGTCTTTGGAGTAATAGCTCTTATTTTTAAGCAATATTTTCATAGTATTTATAAAAAAATGCAATGTTTAGTATACTTACCAAATCTGTAACTTTGTTTTCAGCGTATACAGGAGGAGATAAAAAATTTAGTCAAGTTACAGACCAGTAATGCTTCCTGGGCTTCCTATGATACTTCTTTAAGTAAACAGTTATCTTCAGGAAGTCAAATGGGTTTTTTTTCTGAAAACAGTGAGAGAAATGAACCTATTATCAGTTATCCTAAGTCTGAAGAACCAGAAATGCAGCAAGAAACATCCACATCACAACCAGACTGCAATGTGGACAGTAGCTCAGTGAGCAGTGGGTATGGTACCTTTTGTGTCTCCGAATTAAATGCCTACAAATCTAAGGACCCTCGAGAGTTCATGGAGCACACAGAGGTTTCTGAGGGACAGTTTGGAGCATCTTTGGGGCAGATGGAGTCACTTGCAGAGGGTGTAAAAAACAAGAATTTTCGTATACATACCACTGAAGAGTTTTGTGCATCTTTAAAAGAAGATATTTCCATTTTTCCTGGTGAATTTGAACACAATTTTCTTGGTGAAAATAAGGTTTCAGAAGTATACAGTGGAAAAACGAATAGGTAAGTAGAATTTCTCCAACATTTGAAGGGAGGTTTACTTGTTTATTACATTTAGAATCTAGTAAATCAAGCTCCTTTTAGAGTCTAAATGTATACATGTGCATGTAATTTGCAACCAAAAATTATACACAAGCATACTCAATTTTATGCTTTTTATATAGAAGAGGAAATTTTCTAAGTTTGATGATAAGTGTGGCTGAATGTTTGTAAAGCAAACAATCATTTAAAATTTGTCATTTACCCTAAATGTTGAGTTTTATATCTCTGAAATTTGTTCTCTAAAATACGTGTTTAGCTATAGCAACACAGATCTTGTATACCTGTAAGTACAGTCACTAGTCCTTGTAAACAAATAAGCTTTTGCTGTAGAGCTACATTGGGTATGTGAACAGGCCACTGTGGTGGTTTTGTTCTATTCCATGACTACAGGCTAAAGCCTTTATTAATCACCGTTAGTCTTTGTGTTCGCTTTGCCTTTGGTAATAAGAAATTGTAAAAAGAAATGTAGGTGAATGGATAAAAATCCATTCTTTCTCTGCGGTTAGAAAAAGAACTCAAAGCATTTCCCATGGACACAATATTTATTAGTGTTTAGTTTTATGTGCAAAGGACAGCATCTAAAGAGAATAATTTTGTTTTCTCTTTCTGAATAGTAAGTCTGTAACATCATGGGCACAAAAGCTGAAGCAGAACCAACCAAAGAGAGCACTTACAGAGGAGGGGTGTTCAAAATCTATGCAAGGAAATGAGCAAGCCAAGAAATCACCAGTTGAGAAAGTAGGTGATGAGTCACTTTATTGCTAATTATGGTGGAGTTTACTACGAGCTCGTCAACATAAGTTTTTTGTCCTTTCTTTTGTATTGTTAATTTGTTCCATTGACCTATCTTTCTCTGGGTGTCCCAGAGGATTGGAAACAATGATTTGCTCTGGGTATTGCTTTTTTAGTAGTCTGGAAATCAAAAATAATGAGGAATAAAGTACAATAGAAAATGAAAACCGTTTTGTAAAGGTCCTAATTCTCTTTGTGCTGCAACTGTTTACATTTAGCCAGAGAATAATCCATTTAACTTTTTTTTAAACTCTCAAATAGGGGCGCCTGGGTGGCTCAGTCCTTTGCGCGTCTGACTTGGCTCAGGTCATGATCTCATGGTTCATGAGTTCGAGCCCCACGTTGGGCTCTGTGCTGACAGCTCAGAGCCTGGAGCCTGCTTCGGATTCTGTGTCTCCCTCTCTCTCTGCCCCAACCCCTACTTGTGCTCTGTCTCTCTCTCAAAAATAAATAAACATTAAAAATTAAAAAAACTCTCACATAATTTATATTACTATTAAGTTGTAAGAAGTAGTACTAAATTTACAATCCAAATTGTAAGAGGTTAAATGTTTAAATTCTGTGTGGCCCTTTTACTAATCTAGCAGCTGCTTTCATTAAAGAGGTGTAGATATTGAGTAGGTTTTAAACATCTTTGAAGTCCTTTTGGCTTAAATCATCATAGAGTAATGTTGTTTATTCTATGATACTGAATTGAAATTGCAAAGTCACGTCTCTCTGCAAACTTGATACCTTTAGAAATTGGCCACTGTTTTTAATGTTTATTTTTTTAGAGAGAGAGAGAGAGAGTACGTGCACTGGCAGGGGAGGGGCAGAGAGAGAGAATCCCAAGCATTTTCTGTGCTGAGCGTAGAGCTAGACGCAGGACTTGAACTTATGAACCGTGAGATCATGACCTGAGCCAAAATTAAAAGTCAGATGCTTAATGGACTGAGCCACCCAGGCACCCCTGGTCTTGATTGCTGTAAACATGGTCTTTCTATCATCCTGTGAAAAAGATTAAATAGAAGTCCTAAGAAGACAGTCGTTTAACCTTTATAAAGCACTATTCTCTTTTCTTGCCATAAGTTTTCTTCAGCCTGTGCTATTTAGGCTTCTCAAGATCACTGTTCCAGAACCTATTCAGATTTGTGTTCAGGAGGGAAGTGAGGGTGATAAAGCTCCAGGGACCACTGGCCTCACCTGCAGGCGCCCTGTAGTACTGTATCTGTGGGTCTGTTCTTTTGAACTCGCGTGCCATTGGGATGGTACATCTTTGGTGTGAGCGCATAAGAGTATTTAGAGACGGGGTGAAAGTTGCTTTTTCCATTGGAATAGGTTGGCAGAAAAAATGTTTTCATATATGCTAGTTTCTCTTCTGTTTTTACATTAAGTAAAACTCAGTCTTGGGGAGGCTAGCAAAAAACAAAAAACGAACAGAAAGACTAGTCTTTTGGAGACTTTCTCACCACTGATAAACTTTGGGTCTTTGGTATATACCTCGGTGGATACAGTAGTTTTCTTTTCTTTCTTTCTTTTTTTTTTTTAATGTTTTTATTTATTTTTGAGACAGAGAGAGACAGAGCATGAGCAGGGGAGGGGCAGAGACACAGAATCTGAAGTAGGCTCCAGGCTCTGAGCTGTCAGCACAGAGCCCAATGCGGGGCTCGAACTCACGGAGTGTGAGATCATGACCTGAGCTGAAGTCGGACACTTAACCAACTGAGCCACCCAGGCGGCCCTATAAATACGTTTTCATTCTGAACTCATTAAGTAACACCAGCTCCCAGTGTTCTTCCAGCTCCACAGAACCAAAATAAACTTGTGTAAACACACAGGAAAAGAAAATCCTTCACGGTTAATTCCTATCATTTTGTATTCTTGTAATCACAGGGAAAACTGGACTTTCGTAGTTCTTCCTGAACCCTCTGAGGCTTTCTCTGTGCCTTGGTTTGATACCTGGCTCTCTTTCTTTGGGTCAGTAGTTTGTGCCTAATGATTTTTATCCATCGACTAATGGTTTTCTTTCTTGCATTGCAGCCTAATTTCACTGCTGCTAAGCACCCTCATGCTTTTTACCTCAATAAACCAGATGAGAGTCCAAATTCTTGGATGTCTGATTCAGGAACAGGTATGAGACCTGTTGTTTTGTTTTGTTTCATTTTGTTTTGATAACAACTTGTCTGCATTTCTCACGGGATGTTAATTCTATCCAGTGTATTAGCGCGCTTTCTGTAAATGTGTTCTGTTGTGCCTCTGTTAACTATAACTTCCTTACTTGCATTAGTGTTACAGATTCTGTAAAGATAGATGGGAAAAATACTTTTGCAGTTGTTTCAAACAGCTGCAAAAGCCATCTCAGCATTTTTCAGATGCTCCAGAATGAATTAAGACATTCAAACCCTTTATGAGTCATTCTTTACTCTCCATGGTAAGCTTATTCTAGTTTTAATGACTGAACATACTGATTCCCTACCCTACCCCCCACAATCCCACATCCAGTTTGTCAGGATAAATTAGCTTTGCCTGATGAAAATTGCCAGAATTCAACCACTGTCATGCTGTCACCCTAACAGAGTCCCCATCACCTGTCACCTGAGTTCCTGCAACTTCCTGCCCAGCATCCATGCCCTCACCCTTGCACCCTTCCATCCGTTCTCCACACAGTAGCCTAAACAGTCCTTCTCTAAGATGGGTCAGATCATGTGACTCCTCTGCTCAAAACCCTTCTATGCTCTTTCCCTCAGAGTAACGGCCAGAGTCGTATAGGTGCCCGTAGGCTCAGCAAGATCTAGCCTTGTTCTGTTTGACCTCATTTTCTGCTGCTCCCTTTCTCTGCTTCAGCAGAGAGGCTGTTTGCTTAAATGTGCCAGATAGGTTCTCATTTTAGGGCTTTTGCTTTGCTGCTTCCTATATTTGAAATGTTCTCTCCACCCGTTATATAGGGGATCTCCCTCATATGTGGCTAAAATGGCCACATATAATATAATGTGGCTAAAATGGCTAACATTATCTTGCAGCGAGCCAACCCTGAGCACCCCTCCACACACGCTACATATATTCCCTTTTACCTGATTTTTAAGTCTTACCATTTGGTGTTTACTGCCTTCTAACCTCCTGTGTATACGTTGTGATTTATTTACTGTTCATTTCTCACATTTTCTGCTCCCCAGCCTGGCACGGTAAACACTCAGTATGTATTTGAACCACTGAATTATTATTCTTATTAATTTTTAAAGTTTGTTTATTTTGAGAGAGCACGTGAGTGTGTGCACAAGTGGGGGATGGGCAGAGAGAGAGGGAGACAGAATCCCAAGCTGGCTCTGTGCTGTCAGTGCAGAGCCCAACGTGGGGCTTGAGCTCACGAATCGGGAGATCATGACCTGAGCAGAGATCAAGAGTTAGACTCTTAACCGACTCAGCCACCCAGGTGCCCCTGAACCATTGAATTCTTTATATTGTTTCTATCTAAGTCTGTGCTACTCATAAAGAATTTTTTTCTTTTTTAAGAAATACATTTTAGATTGTAGTAGTTTATCTTGACTTTGAAAACATTTTTAAAAATAGTCTCTACACCCAGCATGGGGTTTGAACTCACGACCCCGAGATCAAGAGTTGCACTCTTCTCCAACTGAGCCAGCAGGCACCCCACATCTTGACTTTTAATAATATACTTCATTTTTAAATATTTCGATCATCAAATTAGAACTCTTCCATGGGAAGGCATTTAAGAGATTCTTGTTCCATTAAAATTCAATTTCCTGTATCCAGATAGCCAAAAACTAGTTACTTCTCGTATTTAATTTTCTGTAGGTAGAAGTAAGTTATTCTAGAAAGCACTTTTCTCTTTTCTTAGTCTTCTCTTCTGTGTATTTGTGCACAACAGGCCTGACTTACTGGAAGCTGGAGGAGAAGGACATGTATCACTCTTTGCCTGAGACTTTAGAGAAGGCATTTGCACCGTCCTCTGGAGATAGGTCACCAGGCCAGGTGATTTAAAAACACATTGTGTGTATGTGTTTGTGTCACACAATTATAGTTCAGAGCTTCGTTTCATTATAAACGTTGTATTTTTCCAATTATTCGTTTAATGTTTTATTTATCCTTGAGAGAGGGAGAGACAGAGCGTCAGCAGGGGAGGGAAAGAGCAAAAGAGGGACACAGAATCCGAAGCAGGCTCCAGGCTCCGAGCTGTCAGCACAGAGTCCAACGCGGTACTCGAACTCACAAGCCGCGAGATCTTGACCTGAGCCGAAGTCAGACACTAACCAACCGAGCCACCCAGGCTCCCCAGAAGAAGCGTGGCCTTTAAATTGTACTTGCTTTCAAATGTAATCTCTCATTCATTGCCTATGTGATCATAGGAAGGTTACTTAAAAATGGAATTTAAAATGCTCAGCTAATGTGTTGTAAAATTAAATGAGATGATTTTGCGCCTACTGTGCTAAATGTAGTGGGTCTGCAGATAACAGCTTCCTCTGTTCCTACACCTGGTTTTGATTCTCTGTCTTATTCCGTCCTCCTGCTAATCCATTTGTACCAATAATGCTGAGCATTTTAATTTGCTGTCGTCATTTTCTTTGAGCATGAAATGTAAATATTTTCTTTACTTCAGCACGGTGAAATCAAACTACCCAGCATGTGTACATTCAGGTGATGAGAAAGGTTGGGGAAAAGGAGTGATTACAACGAAGGTAACCAGGAGAGCTATAAGCATGAGTAATAGGCATCGGTAGGGGCAGTGGGGATACAGCGTATGTGTAGACAGCAGAGTCCCAAAGAGGGGTGCAAACCAGCATCCCATCCTTCAGGAAGGGAGCAAAAGAGAGAGACAGATAAATGCAGGGAAAGGAAGGCTGGGGAGTGAGATTGTGAGGGGCTGGAAGCCTCGGTGGGCTTTGTGATTACAGAGCTCACTGTGTGTGACGTGATCAGCACCATCAGTGAGTGAATACTGTATTTTGGTGATTCTAAGATACTGTCAATTTTAAAACTTCCTATTTCATAGTCTAACAAAATTATTCTAGGGGCGCCTGGGTAGCTCAGTTTGTTGGGCCTCTGACTCTTGGTTTTGGCTCGGGTCGTGATCTTGTTGTTCGTGAGCTGGAGCCCCACTTCGGGCTCTGTGCTCACAGCTCAGAGCCCGCTTGGGATTCTCTCTCTCTCTCTCTCTCTCTCTCTCTCTCTCTCTCCCTCCCTCCCTCTATCCCTCTATCCTTCCCTTGCCCGCTTGCTCGCTCTCCCCCCTCTCAAAAATAAGTAAATAAACTTAAAAAAATTATTCTAACAAAAATAAAAAGCAGTGTATATCAGTGCTTTCTTACCACTTAGAATTTATATTTTATTATTAATGAAAGATCTTGTAACTGAACCTTGATTTTTGTCGTATAACTCTTATACATACTTAAAAAGGATGATATAAGTGAAATAAATTTGTTAAAACCTCTTCACCTACAGAGGCTTATGCTCTCTTTTCAACTCAGTGTTCCTTTCTGTGTTTTTCCGCATACTGTTTTTCTTGAGCCATCAAGAGCTTTGGGGATTGGCAAAGATGAGAGGCCTTGGTGCTGAGTTTTTACCTGGCCTAGTAGTTCTGTAGATCTGGCCTACTTTTGGCACCCAGATGGGGAATGCTGCTAACCATCTATGAGTCACTGTCCCTTAAATACTGGTTCTCAGGGCTTCTGGTGTAGGCTCTTGGATTTTTTTCCAAACTGCTGACACCTGTTTGGCCAATTTGGATGTCTTCTGTGTGTGCTTGTGAGCAGACAATGACAATTATATCACAATTGCTACTTGACCAAAAGCAATGTTAAGATGTCGTTAATTACAAGAGGCATCCTCACTTCTGAGATGTTAAAATATAGTGATCATAGAAGTGGAAAATGGTGAAGAATGGTTCGTTATGCTACCACGACCTCTAAATAGAGTAATTCCAGCAGCTCTGCCTGGGGGTGCTCCACCAGGTTTGGGGCATCACCAGGCAGGGATTCCTCAGGCTCGAGGCCATTTCCTGAGTGCTCTGCTTGTTACAAACTTTCAGCTTGAAAGGGTCTTTTAGGTTGTTGGTGTATAAAAAGTAAAATTCCAGGGGCTCCTGGGTGGCTCAGTCAGTTGGCCGTCCGGCTTTGGCTCAGGTCATGATCTCCCAGTTCATAAGTTCGAGCCCTGCATTGGGGCTCTGTGCTGACAGCTTGGAGCCTGGAGCCTGCTTTGGATTCTGTGTCTCCCTCTCTCTCTGCCCCTCTCCTGCTCTCTCTCTCTCTCTGTCTCTCTCTCAAAAATAAGTAAACGTTAAAAAAAATTTCAATTAAAAGTAAAATTCCAATTACAGAAATTGTGGTAAATTTTAAGGGCTCACATTCAGAAAATTAATGTTTTTAATGCACACGTAAAAAGTTCGATTGTCCTATTCACAAGCTAGTTACAGGGTTTGTTAAAACATGTTAATGCATGGCACTCTGCAGCCTGTGTAGGGTCTGGAAATGGGACACATATTTAAAGCTATATGTGAATATATTCTTTGAGTACTTTCAATATATCTCTTGCTGAATCTATAATCTCATTTAAAACAGTTTAAATTTGAGACCCAAGTTAAATGATACCCCAGCATGCCCTACAGTAGGTCCCACTTTGAAATAATTTGAGGCTGAGGTTTTAAATTTGGAGCTTTAGACCTCTTTGCAACATTTCCAGCGTGACAAAGCCCTGATTTCAAGCTGTAGGAATTAGGGTCGTATCTTCTTATCTTATTAATTTAAAAAGGGGCTTGTTTCTATTGGGTAACTTCTTTCTTAACACTTTTTCTTGGTCTGTGAACTCTTAAAAAAGTAGGAAAATAACTACACAGATAAGGAATTTCATCTCTGTATACCTGTCTCCCTGAGTCACATGATGTTAATCTAGCCAAAAGTCTTCTTAATCCTGCTTCACTCTTTTCATCATGAAGTCTTTTCATACCTCAACACTTGGTTTTTATCTTGAGTACGGGGGACTACCAAGGTTTTTTATTCTTTGGAAGTATTCTGAGGCTACTAAATAACTTAGGTTCAGATTATCACCTTAATATTTATTATTAGGGGATATCATTTTTTTTTCATTCTGAGGGAGACTCATAAGTAACGGGTAATGACATCTAAACTTGTTTTATAAGTCTGACAGTCCAGAGTCTCAGTTCATTTAAATTCTTTCAGAAATCTTTTTGTGGTGCTGATCTTGTGTCAGTGAATTTTTTCCATCATTGATAATACCACTTAAATAATTTTGTTTCATATCTTTAAGTCTAATACTAGTAATGAGATGAAGCTACCATCACTGAAGGATATTTATCATAAAAAACAAAGGGAAAACAAGCAGTTACCTGAGAGGAATCTCACTTCTGCTTCCAACCCAAATCATCCACCAGAGGTAAAGTTGGCAACACCCTGCTGAATGAAAATGAAAGATGCTTCATGACTCTTAACTTTTATCTCAAGCTTTATTTTCCGTAGGAGATCTAAAGCCTACTCCCTTAAAAACAAACACTGAGTGCGGAGGGCAAAATCTTACTGCTGTCTGTCTTAATTTCTAGGTACTGACTCTGGATCCAACGTTACACATGAAGCCAAATCAGATTTCAGGAATTCAGCCACAAGGCTTTTTGAATGCCCTTGATGATAGAATGTCCTTTTCACCAGACTCTGTTCTAGACCCCAGTATGTCTAGTCACTCTGACATAGACTCATTTTCACAAGCAAGTAATATCGCTTCTCAGTCATCTGGATTCCCCAAGTATCCTTCAAACACAAAAGCTTCACCAGTGGACTCTTGGCAAAATCATGGCTTCCCAAACGAAAGTAGGAGCAGTTCCACGTTTCCTTCGGTGGCTACTACTGCTAGTAATGACATCTCGGTCAACACTGTAGATGAAGAAAACACGGTCGTGGTAACTTCAGCCTCAGCCAGTCAGTCCCAGCTTCCAGGGACAGCCAACAGTGTCCCAGAATGCATTTCGCTGACTCCTCTGGAAGATCCTGTAATACTGTCAAAGTATGTGTTTCAGCGCGTGGCTTGTAATGTTAATAGCTTTTCTTTGATGTCTGCTTGAATTATGAAAATGATTTTCATTGACCTTCACTAATGTATAAAATCTTAAAAAAAGAGACGCGGCGCTTTTAAAGTAGGGCATCTAAGTATCCACGTCTTTGTTTTTTTTACTTAATTAGTTGTTAACTTGTGTATCGATCTGTTACGTTTTGTGTGAGTGTGCAGAGGAAGAAGGCTGTAGTTTTGCTTTTGAGAAAGATTGTATTCTTAGTTTCTCTTGTGGGGTAGAGTGAGGAAATGCTTTCCTAACAAGTTGTTTTGCCCTCACCAACAGGATTCGGCAGAACCTGAAGGAGAAGCACGCTCGACACGTAGCCGATCTTCGAGCTTATTATGAGTCAGAAATAAATAGTTTGAAACAGAAACTGGAGGCAAAGGAGATTTCTGCAGTTGAAGATTGGAAGAAAACCAATCAAATTCTTGTAGACAGGTAAAGCTTATAATTCAAGTCTAAAGTTTGTGTTTCTCCATCTTGGAAATGTTATTTTTTCCTAAGTATATTTAATTGTGATAAAACATTTTGCAAAGATGTGCTTCAGATTTGAAATTTTTAACAGAGACCTATTTGCCTGAGGAATTATTTTCACAGATCGAAACCAACCTCGTGTAGCACACTAATGGCTGAAGTGAGAACATTTGTTTCACACGGACAGAATACTGGAACAGTTGAGCAGATACCCTGTATGTAAAGGAACGTCATTTATGAGTGGATTAGTATTGTGTACAGATTTTCTCAGAAGTCTCTAACATCCTCTAGCAGTTCTCAACCTGCTTTGAAACTCAGAGACATGTAACT